ACTGTGAATGTAAACCCCCAGTGGGTCATGGGCCAAAGAAAAAGCAGTTTTCAGTAATCGTATTGGTGGTACTGGTTTAAATATATAAAAATATATTTATAAAGATACAAATTATATTATGTACAATAATTTCATATTTATTTTATATATTTATATCTTACACATGCTGTATTTTATACCTTTAAATGATATATTGTTTTATACATTTATATGTTAAATATATATAACATTATACATAATATAAATATACAAAAGAAACAAGTTTACGTAAATACCATTAGAAAAAGAGATTTTTCAGCATGAGAAAGGATGGAAATATTGAAATCAAAGAACTTAAGTTTGAAAAATTAAAATCCAACATTTTTATCAGATACATCACAGACATACCAGACATCCAGAAACAACGAATACCCTTAGCACTAGACTGTGGCTCTACATACTACTTTTCACTAAAAGGAACTGGACTTTCTGGAGACACAGCTGATTTGGGGACTAAGGAAGAACATGTGCAAGATGAGCTCAGGAACATCTTGTTATGTCAAAAAGCAAGGAAGCTATCAGAGACTACTAGAGCTGTGTCAGAAACATTCAGAAGTCAATTTAAAAAGGCTCCTTTGGCCAAGACAATCTGAGTATCCTAAGAATAAGAATAAAAACTACAATGCAATAACATATCAAATATTTAAATCCCCAAGCTCACAGAGACACTTTTTAAAAAGTCTTTGTTGGTCTACTATTCCCAGCATTCTAGGAAACAACTTAGCACTTTGAAAATTGGAAAATAAACTTATCTACGAAACAGAAATAGAGTTACAGATGTAGAAAATTGGTAAATAAAGGGAAGAATCAAGAATTTGGTATGCCTTTCCTGTGCAAACTGTGCCACAGAGTAACCAAATATCTGATGAGGGAAGTTTCTCTTTATAGAAATATTACAGATAATAATGAGAGATGATCTAGGCAATGATCATCAATGGTCACCTAATATCACAAATAGAGACAAGCAAATATTATATGCCTCTTCATGGAATTACTTCGTACCACCTACAAAATATTCTGCCATCCTACCCCCACCCCAAAATAATGCAAAAAAAAAAAAAAAAACCTGAATTAGATTAATCTTTTAAATTAAAAAATTCAAGAGAAAGAGAGGCATTTTACTACAGGGATGCAATTAACAAAATACAGAAAGAGGAAACCCTGCAAGACAAATAAAAAGGAAAATATAATAAAGAGGTAAAGCATAAGCTCTACGTAGCAACCAAGTGTAATGTATGGACTTTGTTGTCAATCTGTAAAAGCTCAAACTAAAAGGATATATGGTGATACTAAGAAATTACTGTCATCACCTCACACCCATTATTAGAGTGCTCACTACCCCAAAATGAAACAAACCAACCCTCCAACCCTCACAACAGCCAAAAACTCTCACAGAAAATAACAGGTACTGGCAAGAATGTAGAGAAATCAGAACCCTGTGCATTAGTGTTGGGAATGTAAAATGGTGCAGCCACTTTGGAAAAGCATACGGAGCTTCCTCAAAAAATTAAAACTAGAATTATCATATGACCCAGCAATCTCACTTCTGGATATTGATCCAAAAGAATTGAAAGCAGGATCTTAAAGAGATATTTGCACTTTCATGTTCACTGCAGCATTCGTCACCATAACCAAAGTTGGAAGTAACCCAAATGTTCATTGATAGATGAATAAAGAAAATGAAATATACATACAAAACTTCCACCTTTTAAAAAGTAGAAAATCCTGTCATAAGCTACAACATAGACAAACCTAGAGAACACTACTCTAAGTTAAATAAGCCAGTCACAAAAGACAAATACTGTATAATTCCACTTATATAAAATACTTAAAGATGTCAAACTCATGAAAACAAAACGTAAAATGATTGTTGACAGCGGCTGGGGAAGGAACAAATAGGAGATTTTGTTCAAAGAGTACAGAGTCAGTTTTGCAAGATAAAAAATTTTTAGAGATCTGTTGTACAACAATGTGAATATAGTTAACACTACACTTAAGTGTACTAACTGTACACTTAAAAATGGTTAAGATGGTAAATTTTACATTATGTGCTTTTTACTATAATTTTTAAAAGTATATTTAAATGCCTTTTCAAATAAAAAAATTACTGTCAATTTTTAAAGTGGGATAATGGTACTGTAGTATATACTTTTAAAAAGCCCACATCTTCCATCGATACCTACTGAAATATTTAATGTAATCATGTGACATATGTATTGGCTCCAAAATAAATGGGGGCTGGGGTGGGGAAGAACGAGGCATAACAACATGGGAGCAAAGCGGTTACAGGAAACAAAGCTGGTGATGCTGCAGCTGGGTGAGAGTTCATCATGCCATTCTCTCTAGTGTGTATCTAAAATTTTTCACACTAAATAATAATATACACCTACTGGTCACTGGGTTCTATTAATGCAATAATTACAGAAAGCAGCATGAAACATTTATACTGAAAAGCAGCTGTAAATCATGGTGACTTAAGGTGCTATGAGGGTTAAAATAACTTGCACTTAGGCAAATGAAGAGTGAGGCAAAAAAAAGAATATTCATGGTTCTTATATGAAAAACAAAGTTGAAGTGGGTGTGGGGGGTGGCAGAGGCGACTTTTCACAAAGCATTCCTTTATGGCATTTCCAGAGAAAAACACGTGAGATAGTACACAGCACAGATTTAACCCCGAACACTACTACATTGCTCAGGCTCATGGGAAAACCACCATTTTGAACCCAGTATCTATAAACTTACTAGCACATCTTACAAATGAGTAGAAATGGCTTTGATGTCCACAGCTAGACTATAAGCAAATTTGTGTAATCCTGACCTTTTTCATCTTTCACACTAACACATATACAGAATTAACTCTAACATAAACATTTGTGATGGCAAATGTGTTTGAGATAATCTGATTTAAAATACAGTCTACAAGCTGTTCCCCAAACAAAACAAAATGACACGCAGGCTATGTGAGTGGCACATTACAAAGTCACCTGAGGACAGGCACTTAGAAGAGAAAGCCAGTAGCATGGCACTTGGCTCTCAGACACCCAACACCCACCCAGAAGCAACTCGCTTCTCAGGGGAAACGTGCCACAAATAGCTAAGACTCCAACAACCAAGAAAAATGCACAGGTTTCAAACGTGAACTTCAAAAAAGCCAGATACTCAAAATGCCTAAGATGAGCTGCTTACGTGATAAAGTGTAGTGCTCCAGAAGAAACAGCAGATTTAATGATGGTTAATGAGTCACCCAGGTACCATAAAGAACCCAGCAAGTATTTTCATGTATTAATGAAGAACAGTGTCATCCTTCGTGCTAGGTAAAGCCAAAACAAAAATCCTTATTTTCCCCAACATTCCCCATTAACTACTGGGGGGGGGGGGGGGGGGGGGGGGGGGGGGAAAATTGAAATGCTATGCAACTGTAAGTGCTATGCCTCTCCTGTTTTTCCCCCTTTGAACAGATGTGTTTTAGCACTTATTTTTTGACTGTTATACCATTAGCCTGATAATTAGTCTCTTTAGTTGAAGGTCTTTAGATTGAAAGGAACAGTATTCAAAAGGCTGCACCAGAATAACTACAACAGGGGAGTCTCATTCACATCTGAACTAGAATTAGATGACAAGACCCTGGACTTTGAGTTAATGCCATAATTGGATGAAATCTTGGAGTCTTCAGAGCAGGGTTGCTTGAGTTTTGCATGTGGGAGACATGAAATCTTGTGGCTGGGGGGGGGGGGGGAGGAGGAAGGGAGAAGAAAAGGAGGTTGGAGAGGGGGAGAGGTCGTTTTCTTTTCAGCAGTAAGAATTCAGAAGATAGTTTAGGCAGAGGAAATCTTATTGACATACTGACAAGTTCATCTTTAAAATGAATCATTTCCTAGGAATATTTTCACAGATAACTTTCACATCTCACTCACTCATCCTGGTTCTAGTTAATTTTTACTACTTTTTATTTCAGACTGATGCATCTATAATTTCCCACCAAATTCTATAAACCATAGTTTCTATAGCTCCCTGATTTAATATTTAAAATAAAAATATAAGTAAAAATAATTAAAAGTTTTGATAATGCACTACAGAAAACAATGTTGTTAAGCAATTAATTCTTTAAAAAACAAAAATAAATAAAAACTTATTCTCCTGCTATTTACTGATGCCCCAAATACAGGGCCATACCATTTATATAAGGAATTACTTTTTGTAATTCTGAATCCTAATGAACCATTCTGAATTCTAATGAACAGTGATGAGATCACTTAGCCTATAGCTAGAATAAACATTAGAAATTTAGTCCAATTCCATCACCAAATTTTACAAGAGTACTTGCCAAAAGTCATCCAAGACATATGCAGCAGAGAGCAACTCCCAATTCCCACAGAGTCCAGTGGTCTTGCTGCTATATAACATAGTGGACATTTTCATTCCACAGAGAAAGGATTCTAAATGACCTTGTTAAACAAATAAGAATGGTTCTCCTGAAAATTATCCACTAACTAAAGACAGGTAGAATTTTGGCCATTTAACTGCCCATTAACTATAAATATTAGGAGAAATCCAATATGATTATTTTAGTAAGATGATGGACAAAAACACAAGAGCCATTACTGCCACTCTAACTTAAGTTTAATGAGAAAATTTTATTCACAAAATATAGTCTCCATGTTAAAATATAAGACCTTAACTGTATAGTAACACTTTTCATTCTGATAACCATAGCCAAGATAATAGAAATCTTCAAATTAGAGGTTTTGCCTTTTTTAAAAAAAACACCAAATAATCAAACATTATTTTAAGTACCTTAAAAATTACGTTTTTTTATAAAACATTTCTTCAGTTTGAGAACACATGTATTTTGTCAAATTGTGAAAAACTTCCGAAATTCTTAACAGATTCTTAAAAATAAGAGAATAATAAAAACAGAAATTAAAACAAGCTCTGACAAAAAGAGTAGGAGGAATTCTTACCATTGGCAGTGCATTGATGTGGGGATGTACAACTGAATGTCTGGTACTGCCAATCACAAATTGCTGTTGCTGATGCTAAGAAAAAGGAAAGTAAAATATTCAGTGTGTCTTAAAACAAATCCAGTTTAAAAGATTTCCCTTACCAAATTTCACATGTATGAAATACTATTTATGTCTTTAAGGTCCCAACCAGTGAGTATCTTTCTCCTCCTAAGCAACTGCTGTCATAAACAGCAGCAACTTTTGAGCGTGTAGTATGTGGCAGGCACTGAATCTTTACAACATTCCTAAAAGGTTGACACAATGAACAGAATGAGACTCAAAAGAGATGAATTTGCATAAAGGAGGCACTCACCCCCATTCAACTCAACTCATGCAAATACTACTGCAATAGGGCCCAGTATAGCAGGTTCATAATCCATCATCAGGAGCTGTAAAGAATGGTATAACCTTATATGCTATATATTGTTTAATACAATAAAGAGAAATACCTAATTGGTTTTGAAACAATTTCAATCAAAACTAATTAAACCTTATCTCTTCAGAATTTATATTCTACGGAGTTTACCCATTCTTCTCAATTGCTGACTCACAGCACATTATTTTCCAAGAACCATTTTTGCAAATATACAAGTGGTTTTTCACAACGCTGTCAGAGTGGCGACTCAGAACACTGACCAGGGCAGCCCACCATGTGCAAGCGTAGAGCGCATTTTTCTGCAGGAGTACAAGCTGATGCCAAACAAAGAAATGCAAGAGTTTTTCTTCGTACACCAAAAAGGTGAATTAAGTCAGTAACGCTAAAAAGATAACTAAGCAAATACACTGAATAAATACAGAAAGAATTTAATCCCTTGAAATTTGCTCCTCTCTGATTTTATCTTTAATTGATTGGAACCCTCATTTGTGCTCATTACCAACTCCAAGGCCACACTAAATAACTTCAGTGCTGCTATGTAACTTTCAGACAGTTGAGCTGTAGGAATTAAATAATAGGAATTAAAATAATTCCTATTTTAATTCCTAGGAATTAAAATAATATTTATTAAACACACCACACACTTATAACTGGAATTATAGACAGCTATATCAACATACGATATTCCACCAGCCTTTTGGGGTTCAAGACAGGTAAGTGAGCCCCAAGGCTTTCTGGCAGAAAACATTTGTGAGCTAGTTAGTAGGTATTTTCTAGCACCTATTGAGGAAATGTCCTATAGACATCATGATTGAGTTCAAATAAAAACTAGATTACTGCTAAGCTCTGTCTAACTCAGGGTCATTTATTATGAACATCCATTATTTTACTATAAACTCTTCATGAATTTTTGAGCTCTAAGCTATGTAGTTTGGCATACATTCATTCTAATTGTTTATAAATAATTAACATATGCTACTAAATTTCATACATTTTAAAACACACAAAACCGAAGTAAAAAATAAAGATAAATTATTTACATATTTACAGTGATACAATCTTGTTTATAACATTCTAGGTCCTAAACTTTTAAATGTCTTCTTAATCATGATAATTTTATATCATTATTAACTACTATCTCAAGCCACAATTTAGTCTTAGAGTAAGGTTCATCAGTACTAATAGTGAACATATGCCTGTCTGTCAAATATCTTTCTTCAGAATCTCCAATTTTTTCAGCCATCTTCTAAAATAATTATAACATGGCAGATGAAAAGCTTATTCTAATAGTTTAAGTAACAGCTCTACCATTTTCTTGTTTCCTACTCTTATTCATGTTTCTTATATTCAGTTTCTTTGCAGGAATGTTTACATTATTAGTCTGTTTTGTGGGGTTTGGTTAAAACTGGATAATATAATCCACAAATCTGTAACATCAAACACAAGCAAACATACATTAATAAGCTCAAATGCATGGCAATTCCCAGAAATGGAATGAATGAATGGGAGTGCCACTGTTGCCCTACGGAACCCCCAACTCTTTTGAACACCGTTATGTACCACATGTTATACATGACTCTCTGACATCACAGCCAAATGAGGGTACAAATTAACCGCAATATTAAATGTTAATTATATTTAATTGTTAAAATCTCGAATTGCACACTGTACCTCAATGGATATTTGTTTTCACTACTATTGTTGTGTGTACAAACTCACACACATGTACCTTAGGGAAATATTAAATCAGATCATTCCAGTTGCTAGTCTTTCTTTTACCTCCTCTCCCTGGTTCTCTCCTCTTACTTTTTTGTGGTGAGTTCTTCTCTCATCACTCTCACAGAGGTCTCTAATCTCAGTTTTCTCTAAACGTATTTTCTCTTCCCTTCTTTTCCTCATTCATCCATTCACTCATTCAGCTTTTCCTATTAGACTACAGCTCCTTATGGGAAAAGGCCACAAAGGTGATTTAATAAATATTGAAGGGGTTAAATATCTGATTCTAGGATCTGAAGGGTGAATAAATCTGTGGAAAATGGTGTATCAACAGGTTTGCCCATTTGCACATACAATAAAATCTGAAAAAATGAGAATTTTTTCCCCCCAGCCACACCATGTGGCTTGCAGATCTTAGTTCCCCAACCAAGGATAGAAGCCATGCCCCCTGCAGTGGAAACGCGGAGTCCTAACCACTGGACCACCAGGGAATTCCCAGGAAACTTTCAAAAACGTATGCAGGGATGTATTTTGGTTTCTGTATTAATGTTTTCCTAGTTGACCCATTTACCTATGCCCTGGCCATGGTGCAGTGCATTTCTAAAGCATACATCACAATTCTTCAGCTTTATAAAATGAGTATCTGAATTTTAAAAGATAAAATTATATATTCTACAAAGGAATTATAAAAATCTAAGGTGATTTAAGATAATCCAATAGAATATATATTAAAGCTATTTGTACTAAAGTGATTCAAATTGTCCAAAAACCAAAACCATGTGTATCCTTAACAACTGCCTTTATAATCTCACTTGCTCAACCTCCTGTACTCTCGCTGCAGCATATCACCCTCTCTGTTCTCTGCACTCTTAGGCTGCCATGACACTGCTCATTCCTCTGCCAGAAATGTCCTCCTACTGTGGCTCTGCCCACAAATCCAGTCCACCTCCTCTTTCAAGGTTCAGCCCAAATCAGCTTCCTCCCTTGATTACTTACCCACTGAGAGAGAAAGACCAGTCTCTCTTACCACAGCTCTGAAATGCCTTTTTCTCTCACCATGCCTCCCCTATCAGACCTCCCCAGGCCAGGGGCTAATCTGCTCATGTTGCTGTCCCACCACAGAAGAATAGTGCCCTGAGCATACACAGTTCTTGAGATACATTTATTGATAAAATGATATAGTATCTAAATGTGTGGGAATAGGTACATACATATTCGAGAATAAAACACAGTAGATACTGAATTACAACACAAATAAATCTCAGTGATAAGGAGGAACTCAACAGTGAATCTTGTTTTGTTTTTTAAAAATACTTAGGAGAGCCTGGCTATACCAATCATTTTAGTATCACTTCCAGAAAGTGGCCAATAAAGGTTGATCTTTTGCCGTTAAAAAAAAAAACTCTATGATAAGTCACATTATAAAATGTGTACAGCGAACAACTACTTGGTGTACTACATAAACTAAACCTATGTGCTTTACTTCTTGTGATGAAATAAACGTTTGTAGGCTTTGGTTCTGTCTCCAAACAAAACGCTTTGCTTTTAGAATCTGTATTTCAGAACATTTTATCTAAAATAAATGAAGTATTAATCTTTCAGTAAAGAAACTGACACTGCTATCTCAGCAGACATCATCTTAAATCTACCACCTATACATAATTAGGATTTTTTTAAGATGCAAAAATCCTATAAAACAGCACAACAATATATTTTGACTGATCTTCAAACATACTACCCTGCAGTCTCCAAAGGCAAATTTATTTGATTTACAGATCTCTTTTAAAAGCTAATGGATTGGACTGGAAGAATCAATATTGTGAAAATGACTATACTACCCAAAGCAATCTACAGATTCAATGCAATCCCTATCAAAGTACCAATGGCATATTTTTACAGACTTAGGACAAAAAAATCTTAAAATTTGTATGGAGACACAAAAGACCCCAAATAGCCAAAACAATCCTAAGGGGAAAAAAGCAGAGCTGGAGGAATCAGACGCCCTGACTTCAGACTACACTACAAAGCTATAGTAATCAAGACAATATGGTACTGACACAAAAACAGAAATATAGATCAATGGAAAAGACAGAAAGCCCAGAGATAGAAAGCCCAGAGATAATCCCATGCACCTATGGTCAACTAATCTATGACAAAGGAGGCAATGATATACAATGGAGAAAAGACAGCCTCTTCAATAACTGGTGCTGGGAAAACTGAACAGCTACATGTAAAAGAATTAAATTAGAACACTCCCTAACACCATACACAAAAATAAGCTCAAAATGGATTAAAGACCTAAATGTAAGGCCAGAAACTATCAAACTCTTAGAGGAAAACACAGGAAGAACACTCTTTGACGTAAATCACAGAAAGATCTTTCTTGACCCACCTCCTAGAGTAATGGAAATAAAAACAAAAATAAACAAATGGGACCTAATGAAACTTCAAAGCTTTTGCACAGCAAAGGAAACTATAAACAAGATGAAAAGACAACCCTCAGAATGGGAGAAAATGTTTGCAAACAAATCAATGGACAAAGGCTTAATCTCCAAAATATATAAACAGCTCATGCAGCTCAATATTAAAAAAACAAACAAGCCAATCAAAAAATGGGCAGAAGACCTAAACAGACATTTCTCCAAAGAAGACATACAGATAGCCAAGAGGCACATGAAGAGATGCTCAACATCACTAATTATTAGAGAAATGCAAATCAAAACTACAATGAGATATCACCTCACACCAGTTAGAATGGGCATCATCAGAAAATCTACAAACACCAAATGCTGGAGAGGGTGTGGAGGAAAGGGAACTCTCTTGCACTGTTGGCGGGAATGTAAATTGATACAGCCACTATGGAGAACAGTATGGAGGTTCCTTAAAAAATTAAAAATAGAATCACCCTATGACCCATCAATCCTACTACTGGGCATATACC